TTTCCAGAGGAGAGAGAGAAGCGAGGCTTTTCAGGGCCCTTCCTGTCCCGCTCATCCCTTCCACCCTGGGATCTCTGCCACTGATGTCCCTCCCCTGCCTCTCCTGAGCGACAGCCACACACCCACCCCCACTTGTGTCTGCCTGCAAATCCAGCGTCACACCCAGCAGCCTTAGCAAGAGGCGCTTTGCTCCAGGCTCTCGTTACAATCTTTATGACAGGAAAAGGCGGTGGGATTGGACAAGTGTCCTTGAAGTGTGTGACTGCTGCCGGCTGTGCATCCTCGGGGAAAGACCTCTCAGGTAGATGGGGACCAGGGTCTCTAGGATTAGCACAGCCTGAATCATGCAGCACAGGGCCCGGGGTGATAGGACCTGTGGAAAGGATGACAGCAAAGGATGACAGGATGTGTGGCCATGGGATCACATTATACATCATTTTATTTATATATGTAAGCTGTATAGGAGATATACTGACATTTTGCATTTGTCTGCCTTGGTGTCTTTCCTTAAAAAACTTCAAAGGCCTACTGAGCTCATCCTCATACTTGGGTCCCTTCGGAGGGTGGTTATTTATTTATTTATTTATTTATTTATTTATTTATTTGTCTTTTTTGAGACAGGGTCTCGCTATGCAGTTCAGGCTGGCCTTGAGCTCACTTTGTAGCCCAGGCTGGTCTCGAGCTTGCCACAATCCTCGTGCCTCAGCCTCCCGAGTGCTGGGATTACAGGCATGCACCCCCATGCCTGGCTGGAGGGTGGATTTTAAAGGTAGTTTTTCTTCTTCTAACCCTTCCTCCCCTCCTTCTCCCACCTGCCACCTCTGAGCTGGGATGGGGTAGAGTAGGAGACAAGAGAGAGAAAAATTGACTTACAAAACAGCCGTCTTAAACAAATATGTCTATTAGGAAAGCAGCATCCTTTTCGTAACTCACCACAGCCCAGCTGGAGGGTTATGCCGGTGCTGGGGGCCTCTGGGGTGGGTTTGGCCAAGGGCTCAGTGGCTTGTAGAGCCCTTGGGTCCCTGGACTTGGGAAGTGTAAGGGGCCTTCCTTTCCTCCAGAAACTTGGCCTGCAATGGCTAGGAGGTTGGCTGCTCTGCTCTCTAGGAGACAGGAAGAGGCTGAATTCTTTTTTGTTTTTTCCTGGCAGTGGGGATTGAACCCAGGACATTTGCTCTGAGCTGCATCCCCAGCTGTTCCTTACTTTTGATTTTGACATAGATTTTCACTCAACTGATAAACTGGCCAGACTGGGCTGAAACTTGCCATCCTCCTGCCTCAGCCTCCCAGAATGCTGAGATTACAGATGTGCCCGCTCAGATGTGCCCATCCCTGTTGCTTGTTTGCCCCGCAGGCCTGACAGTGACTGACGGCTGCAAACCCAGCACAGGTTGAATCATTGGCTTGTGACTCCCGCTGCAGGGACGGGGTGGGCGCCTGGAGGCGGCAGAGGCAGCGAATCCCTAGGGGCAGTGGTGTTTCAGGAAGTCGAGTCAGCGGCTGCTCACCTTCGCCTCTCCCTCACAGCGAAGGCACACTGCGGAGAGACTGGGGTGGGAAAGGTGGGCTTCACGTCTTCCCAGGGCAGCTGCGTGTCCAGCAGCGACCTTCGCTGTGAGGGCCGGTGGGGGTGGGGGTGGGGGCGCAGATTCTCAGCGGGGAGCGGAGAGCCCTCGACAGGCGTTTGTTAACTGCACTGATCTGATTATTCAGGGCTTTTCTTAGCCAGCACAGGGCAGAGCGGGGCAGCAGTTGCTTTTCATTCTATTTAATTTCTGTTTTCCAAGAATGAATATCAAGGGAGCGGCTTTGATTAAACAAGCCTTTAAAAGGGGGGAGAGAACGCCAGATTTTACAGAGAGCCTTACTGAGCCGCTGGCAAATGGCCACACGACACAATATTTTTAGTCTGTGGATATTATCTCCTTTCTAAGTACTAAACTGCCATTCCCACGAACAAAGCATGAAGGTTCAGGGAAAAAAAATTACCTTGGCACTAATACAAAAAAAAAAGAAGACGATTCCTGGAATCAGCTCTTAACAGAAATGAAGAGGAAAATTCTCACATCCCTGGTTCTGCAGTTCTTTCCACCCTTTCTATCTATTGCTGCTTCTTTTCTGTTCTTTTTCTCAGAAGTGGTTGAGACTGTAGGCCGAATGGGAGGGGATTTCATAGCCAACTCTAGTATTAGCATGTTCGAACAGATTTTTTTCTCAAAAAGATATTTGGCATGATGATTTTTTGTTTTTGTTTTAAGATTTTCTAAGATGAGAATGTTGGTCTGCCTCAGATGGGAAATCAGGAAGAAGGAAACCTCCATATTTAACACTCAGCCAATTTTACTGAGCATTTATTATGTGCCACACCCTATTATCTATTGAGAACATAGCAGTGAATAAAACAGATCCCTCTCCTGACTCAGAATATTTTTTTTCTTTCTTCTTTCCTTCCTTCCTTCCTTCCTTTCTCTCTCTCTTTTTGTTTCTTTTCTCTTTCTTTCTTTCCCTTTCTTTCTTCCTTTCTCTCTCTTCCTGTCTTCCTCTTTTTTTTTTTTTCTTTCTTCTTTCCTTCCTTCCTTCCTTCCTTTCTCTCTCTCTTTTTGTTTCTTTTCTCTTTCTTTCTTTCCCTTTCTTTCTTCCTTTCTCTCTCTTCCTGTCTTCCTCTTTTTTTTTTTTTCTTTCTTCTTTCTTTCTTTTATGGTGCTGGGGTTGAGCCCAGGGCCTGGTATGTATGCTAGGCAAGCACTGGATCACTGAGTTATATGAGTCCCCCCCAGAATCTTACAGTCTAACAGGATGGTAGCAAATGTTTACTGTGGCTTACCACATGTCCTGTATATGACAACCCCTTAGGTTGGCCCTGCTGCTATTACTCTGTACAAACTCACGGGCTTCAAGTCCAGGAAGTCTGCCTCCAGAATCATGGAACTTCATTTATTATTCCAGTCTGTGACTCATCTCCAAATGAGCGTGTGTCTTCCTTCTAGTCCCATCATATCCCGTATTTATCCCTCTTGGGGCTCCTCTCCCACACCCTTGTCTGTTCCTTCATTAACCAGGAGCTTTTGCGGGGCAGGGCCTGTCTGTCGTCTCTGTGTCTCACACTTCACACTGCTTGGGACCAACCAGAATAGGAAACCCACCTCCCTGAGCTTTTCACATCACACGTGGAAAGACATCCGGACTGAGGTGCATATTGAGAATGCCCCCGACGGGTCTCTAAATCCCTGTCCTCCGTCACATTCAGCCTGGGCCTCTGCTTCGTGAATGCAGAAGGATTCTCTGCATAGAAGTGTCTGCTTAAAGACCCAGGACTGCTGTGTGTGGAGGCACCACAAGGCCAGGCAGCTGCTGCCTAGCGATAGGGAACTGGACAGCTGGGGGCGGGTGGGACTTTGACACCCTGTGCTGGCCTGCGACCAGGGTACTCACTCAGAATGAAGGCTCGGGAGAAGGGCACTCCTTGGCATTGTCCAAACATTTTCCTCTGATGGGGTGGAAACACCTAAATGACAAGCAAGAAAGACTTAGTCAAATAAACCCCTACAGTACAGTGTGATGCCTACATTAACTAGGCTTTTAGAACAAGATTCAAGAATGAGAGGAAGTGCTCAACATATGGATGAAAAGAACAAGATATTATCCTTTTGATTAGAATATTGACTTAAGATTTTGTATATTTGCACAGAAACGAATAGAAGGTGCTTACTCGAAATGATGAGATTTTGCAGGTGATTTCTATTTAGTGTCTTTTTAATACCTTTCCGACATTCCCATTAAAACACATGTTCACTAAAACTAGAAAGAGATTATTAAATAACAAACAGCAAGTAAACCCTTTAAAAATGGTTTTAAAACCTTATATTGGCCCCAGAGGAGACCTTTAATCTATTTTCTGTGCAAGCTCCTACTGGGAAGTCAGCTACAATCACTCAGCATATCGCTGGGCTGGAAGCCTTGGCCAGTATTTCTTCGATTCTAGACTTCAGGAGCCGTGAATCTGCTTACAGATTCCCCACTGATTATGTGCTCTGGAGATCCAAGGCCTTGAGGACAGACTACCCCTCATCCCAGCAGGAAATAATGAAACCTTCTAACCTTAAAGCCCCTTGAAACAAGTGGATCTAAACACATAAGTCTCAACTATGGCTGCAGCTCTTCCTGTCCCAAAGCGTGCATTCTCACGTAATCACCCCAGGAACTGGGAGGGACCACCAGTGCGGTCATCCCTAAGTGGTAGGCAAGGAGGGGACTTGTCCCCAGGCCTATGGTGAGGAGAACTGGGACCCACGTCCATCAGACCAAGGCCGTCTTGACAGGGAATCATTAGGAGAGCTGGACCGGGGAAAACGCTGGCCAGGAACGGCAGAGACTCAGCCACCCAAAGACGTGGGGAGGGCTTTACCAGGGGTGACATCCTTGGGACAAAACTTTGAAACAGCTCTTCTCTGTTGACAACCCAGGGTCCAAGGTGGACGCTACACCTGCTGCGTCTCATCCTCCGGCCACACTTGTCTCCTTCCTGTCCCTTCCATGGTTTCAGTGCTGTTTGTGTCCTTATTTCCCCCCTTACCTTAAGGGTAGAGACAAGATCTTGCTCACTTTGGCATAGCCCTGTTGATCCAGCGTTGGTTACAGCCGAGATGTAAACTCACAGCCAGATGTGGGCTGGAAGCAGAAGCTTGAGTGTAGCGGCCGGGACAGGCAGCCCGGACGCAGAGCAGGGCCCGCCTGGGCAGGGTCCCTTGGGACACTCAGCAGGTGAAGCAGGAGCTACCAGGCAGCTTCTCAGCGTGTGGTCAGCGAGGGCCAGGATGTCAGGCCAGCAGGTCCAGATGCTTCTCGGTCTCAGAGCCACTAAGTCTGAGAGCTGCCTTTTGGACCTTATCCTGACTCATCAAAAATGAGGCCAAAAATGTAAGATGGTAATAGAACAAACACCTCCAGGGAAAGGCGCGCAGCTGTGCTGACTTAATTCTATTTCCTCCCTTGCGTTCTAGTATTTCCTGACTTCTCCTTCAAGGAGCTTCAGCATGTCTGCTAATGGCACCCTCTTCTCCACGACGGAACTGGATTTTGAAGCAGGACACAAGAGGTAGCCTTGCTACGAAGTTTGGTGTGTTTGAGGGGCTGGGAAAATGCGAGGGAGCAGCCGCAGTTTCCGTGGAGGCGAGGAGACGCTGGGCGGCCTGCTGTCTTGCTGTGAGCTGGGTGGCCATGAGCCCGGGGGAGGCGGGCATGGGACAGTCCCTGGGAAGGTGTCTTTCTGGTCCCAGCCTACCCTCCCCAGGTAGCATGCAGGACGCTGGGAGAGGGCGCCCTGGGGTCAGGAGGATGCTCAGAAGCCCGGAAGTTTCGGGGAGGCAATGCTGAGAAGGGGCTGGTGCACATGGGGGTCACACAGTGCCAGGCCTGAGGAGCAGCCGGGCTTGTGATGGGCAGGGCACGGCCTGGCCCTCTCCCCTGTGGTGAGGGTGAGGGAGGTCACTTACATGCCGGGGGTGCCTGTCCTCTCAAGACTGGCACAGGCACTCGGCAGGGACAGTGAGCTGCCGGGGGTGGAGGCCGCCCTTGGCTGGCACAGGCAGACTGGTCCTACGGTGGTGGCTGCGAAGAACAGCGAGAGGCGGGGGTGGGAGCTCAGGGCCAGGAGGAGGGTGACGGAGCAGGTCTGAGGACACAGGGCACAAGCAGGGGTGGCCGGGAAGCGGACAGACCCTTACCTCCCTGTCCCACGTGGCTCTTTTGCTTCCTACTCTGAGGCAGGAGAGCAAAGTTGACTTTCTTGCTTGCAATGTTTCCCTGACAGTTTCTGCCTCACTGTGGAAGTGAGGGACAGTGGAGGCCTCAAAGCCTCCACAGCGCTCCGGGTGTCCATTGTGAATGTCAATGACGAGATCCCGTTCTTTACCAGGTAGGCTGAGGCCACGGGGGCAACCTGGGCTGCAGGCTCCGTCTTTCCAGGTCTTCAGACACTTTGGTGACCAGACAGGGGATGCACTTTGCTTGGGCCTGGAGGACAAGGCTTTCAGCATGCTTAATCTGGGCCTCTGGACTTCTGTTCCCCCCTTTGCTCCCCACCCTCTGGCACCCCACATTCACACACACCCTGGGATTGTGGACACAGTATGGGAGTGGACACGATGCCCCTGGTGTGTGCCTAGCCTCAGTATAAGGCAGCTCCTGTGCAAGAAAGTGGAGCGTTAATCTCAGCAGAATCCTGCAGTGCGTCTCCCCGGTCAGGACTCCAGAGGGCCCTCTGTAGGTGCCGTCGTTGACTGAGGAGACGTCTATCTGAATGGTGCCCAAGGCACCTGCTCACTCCTGGAAGTTGCAGTTTCTTCCGCCTGGTGGCTCCAGGAAGACACCCGCCTGGGTCTGCAGCACCCACAGCAGCAGTGAGGACAGATGGTGCCAGCCAGCGGCAGCCTGTGAACACAAACCTAGCGCCACCCCTGGCCCAAGGGGAGACCCTTGCCTGCTGTAGATGGGGATTCAGGAAAGGATGGGATTCTGGGCTAGCAAAGGGCCCCCCCCCCAAACAGTCTGGCTTTCTGATCCCAGGGATCCTGCCTGCCCCAGGCCTTGCAAAGGGTGCAAGAACCAGCCAAGGGAAAATAGCAGACACCTACCTGGGGGCAGCTGCGTTCATGGCTGTGAATAAACTCAGCATGTGATATTCTACCAACAAAAAACCATTCGGGTAAAATTATTATTTGGCAATTAAAAATGAAGCTATGTAACAATTTATAAAAAAAACTATTAGGCCCCAGAGCTAGATGAGTGCTTGCAAATATATTCTAAGATTGGGGGATATTGAGGCCATGCCCTTCCCAGGCTAACTGGGTGGCACGCTGCCAATGCAGTGCCAGTGAGAAGCTCTGGCACGTGAACACAGTCTGCAGCCCAGCAGCTGGGCATCACGGTGGACACAGCAGCAGCAATGAACTTGCACATCACGCTTCACACCAGCACCTGCTGCTAGGGCAGCCCAGGAGAGCACAGTGCATTTCTGGAAGACCAGGCAGATGGAGAGCATGCGACAGCCTAGCCCAACCTCAGGCACAGCATTGGCCCACGGATGCAGACTCATCGATAATCCCCAGAGGAAGGAGACAGCTTTGTGGCTGGAGCCCAAGCCTTCTTCCACGCTCTCCCCATACACCCAGTCTCTGAGGTGGAGGGGCAGGTTAATGGGGTTGCAGAGGGAAAATAAGTCCTTCTGGGGCAGAATTTGTAAACCATCTAGTTTGTACCATGTCTTTTGTTTTGTTTTTTTGTTTTGTTTTTTTTGTTTGTTTTCTTCCGGTACCAAGAATTGAACTCACGAACTTGCGCTTGCCAGGCGGGCGCTTTGCTGCTGAGCTAAATCCCCAGCCCCTGCAGCATGTCTTTTAAAATACAGCAATTGACATTAGAAGTCAGACAACATGACCTTGGCTGATTTCAGACACCTCAGCAGTCAGCTGGAACTCCCAGTCTCTCCCTTTGGGTTTGAGGATGAACCTGTCAGCCTTCATCCCCACATGGACAGCATGACTTGAGTGATTGTGATGTGTGTGGCTGTCTAACTGTTTTTAGTTGGTCAACTTTATTTCAAATAGTCCTGCATGCAGAGTGGCAAGGGTGAGTCTGCAGGAGCTGCTCTCCCACAAAGGGACTTAGGGCAGGGTCTTCATTAGTGCCTGTCTTCATTACTTTTCTCATTGCCGAGAGCAAGTACCCAACACCCACAAGTTAAGGGAGCAAAGGTTTATTTAGCTCACAGTTTGTAGAGGTTTCAGTCCATCATTGGCTGGCTCCAGGTATGGCAGACAGGCATAGCAGAGGAGAAAGAACTCATGGTGGGCAGAAGGTAGCAAAGCAACAAGGGACGACCACTGCTCTTTCTCTCCTTTATATCTTATCCAGGCTACTCAGGGTAGGTAGCGCTCACACCGTTAATCCTAGTTCCCTTGATCCTAGCATTGCACCATGAATTAATTCCAGCATCACACACACTAGATCTACCCACCTCTGAAAAAGCCCCACTTATGACAGCATGAGGCTTTGAGGGAACATACCGACACAAGCTATAACTCTGCCTGACTTGGCCCAGGCAGTGCGGTAACAGGTGACCTTGTCCTTCAACCATCCACAATTCAAAAGCATCACCTAGTCATACTAGATGCCGAACTGAGGGTTTGCATGGTTCCTTTGGACTTCTGTATTTCTCCTTCCCCAAAACCAGTGCTAGCATTAACCATAAATTCAGGACTCGGAAAATTAAGTTGTCAAACTGACTCAAGTACACTGAGTTTGAGTAGTGCAGAAATGTTGAATGTAGAAACAGCCTTTCCATATGTCCTAATGGTTAAGTGCCTGCAATTAATGCAACCAAAGCAGGTGCTGGCTCTGTTGTTGAGACTGCCTTACCGTTTTGTCCCTGGGTGGGACACACACCTGCAAGTTTTGTGGATTCAGGATGTGCATTCTAGGAGTCTGCCTTTATTAAAGTCAAGTGCTGTACTGCAAAAGCACCTGACATGCTCTACACAAGCACTGTGCTTACTATTTTTGGAGAGCACCTTATTCTAGATGTCAGCAGAAGCAGACAGGTCTTTCTCCTTGCCTCCCTTTTCTTCTGTGTTGACCCTCAGTCCTCTTCTATCTGTGCACACTTTAGGCACTTACTGAGTACTCAGTAAGTACAGCCTGCACACTTTAGGCACTTACTGAGTACTCACACAGAGGCACGAAGCCATCCTGTCCCCCAGAATCCCAACCCTTTTCCATGACTGGGGCTGTAGGCCCTCACCTACCCCTCACCCAGGCTCTGATGACCAGGGGACATGGGGAGAGGATCTGGGAATGTAACTGTATGGAGTTTCATTCACTTTGTCTACTTTGGCCAGAGCTTCACTTGGGCAGACCTTCACGCTGAATGATACTGTACCCAGACCTGCGTCTTGGATTCCAAAGCCAAGAACACTATAGATTCTCTCTTCTGCCAGGTGCACTACTGGGGCAGCCAAGAGCTGCTGTCTGGCCTGAGGAACCATGCTGTCCCTGATAGCCTAAAAAGTCCCTTTCAAAGGGCCTGATTCCTGCAGCACCAGAAAAGGGCCCCAAGGAGCCCTAGGGCAGGCTTCAGTGTGCACCGCTGACATTGTGAGCCGGTTCCTCTTTCTGACAGGGCTTGCTATGCACTGCAGGATGTTTAGCAGCGTCTCTGGCTTCTCCCCTCTAGACACCAAGAACCCCCTACCCCACCCTGTTGTGACAGCCAAAAGAGTGTCCCAGTATAATAGCCCCCTCCTGAGAAGCACCCTTCCAGAGGGTCCTCTCTCTGCCCTGGGGAGGCAGGGGCCTGTGGTGCTCCCCTCTGCACCTTCTGGAACTTGAAATGTACACATCCCCGGGATGTCTTGTGAAGGGTGAAGGTCTTCCTTCTGGCGTCTGGGTGGCCAGCCTGCGACACTGGTACTGCTGGTCTGAGAGTGACCCAGAGCGGGGCTGGGGGCAACAAGGCCTTCTCATGGTCCCTTTGCTGGATGTTAACTCCCAGTGACAAAGGGCAAAACATCCCACATTAGACATGAGGCTCTCGCCGAATGGGCCACGATTCACTCAGATCGCCGTGGCCATGAAGGCAGCCTCCTCTCTCCTCTGGCTCTGGCCCCTGCCCCTGCCCCTGCCTCCTTGGCCCCACCCTGTTTTCCCAGTCTTAGACCTGTTGCTGGGCAGCATCTCAGATGCCCTGAGCAGGGTGTGCAGTCACTGGGAGGACTGATGGGGCTGCTCATGGGATGGGGGTGGGGAGGCCCAGACCTCTTCCTCCCAGTGGTGGTGCCCACCCCCAGGGGACCCCTCAGCACAGGCGGAGGGGGGCCTGCAATGCAGGGAGGAGGATTTGTCTGCCTGCCCCTACTCTGGCCAGATGTTCCCTCCCACCTCTCCTTCCTGCGGCCCTACCTACCTGAGGGGGCGGTTAGACAGCTGCAGAGCATTGAGCCACAGTGGGAGCGCAGTTATTTAGACCCCAGGTCCTGTGTGCCCCACCTTAAGCAAGAGCCCTCGCAGGATGGGGCCAATTTAGGGGAGCTGGGAGATTGGAGATGACTATTTGCCCCACTGAAATGATTTTCCCTCAGCAGCAGGACTTCCTGAAGAGGTACTAGAAGCAACAAGTCTCCCTGGTGCATTCAAAGCTACTGAATTCGCCCCCGTTCTATAGTTAAACCTTCTGTCCTGTCTGACTGATTATGCCTTCTCTAAAGGCCCTGGAGGATGCAGGTGAGGTGACATTTTGGAGAGACCCTATGAGAAATGACCCCAGAGAACCCTGCTCCAAACTTGACTTGTGCCAGGGAATTAGGGCTGAGTTCCAAGAAGCAGACTTCATGGTTACCACATCCTGGAAACGTGCACAAGTTCCATGTGCAGATTTCATATTCTTAGGCAAGAAAGAGCGACAAGAAAGGAATAAACAGTGAGCCCGGGTGCTAGAAGAGAGGAGCTTTGCAGTGCTTCAAGCTTCCGGTAGCGCAGGTTCAGAGTCACACAGCAGATAGATAACCTGCAGCTCTGGGCTTTATGTCCAGATGGATTTTTTTAAAGAATTCAGGCAGGTTTTTTTTTTTGCACAAACATTGGGAGAATGAGAGAAGCTAGCTGGAGAGGCCAACTGTCTTTATTTGGAAAGCTGTCTATGCGAAGGCCAGTCTGAAATGGCACAGGCGGGCGTGCATAGAGGCAGAGACTGTGGGCCGTGCAAACCATTGTGGTAACAGCGCGGCACCGTCTCTGCAGTCACAGGGATGTGATCTTCGGAAACACAAAAGCCGCTCGCCCCTCCTTTCAACTGCTGCGTGCTCCCTGCCAGGGTGTTGGTGCCACCTGCACAGCTCACAGCTATATTTAGCAGCAACCAAAATACCCACTGCCCAGACTGCTCCCTCCCGCGCCCCTGTGAATTAGCTGTGTCTGCTGTATTCCAGCCCGACGCGCGTGTACTCCATCCCGGAGGAGCTCCGCGCGGGAACCATCGTGGCCAATGTCACAGCTGAGGACCCTGACCATGACGGAAGCTCCCCCGGACACCTCCTGTATACCATCACAACAGTCAGCAAGTACTTTGTGATAAACCAGTGTGAGTCGCATGTGACTGTCTTTAAGTGCATCCTCTAATTCTGCCATTTGGATCCTTGTACAGTATTTTACCTCTCTGACCTGGGGCACACCTGTCTGTCTAGGGTCATGGCTAGGGACCAGGGGATAAATGTATAGAGCAGCTGGCGTGGGGGTTGTGGAAGGTGTGGGCAGCTGTGACCCTGCCTCTTCTTGTGGGGGAAGAAATCTCCTTTCTCACTCATCATTAGGTTTGTGCTGAGGCTCTATAGTCTGTCTAGGTCTATAAAAGGTGTATGAACAAGGAAGAACCATGCAAATGTACTTAATCTGAGTTTGATGTGACACAAGGGCCTTCAGAAAGGAAGTCTCAATGCTACAGGGAAAATTGCATTTCCACACTAAGGTTGATGAAGAAGTGAATAGCTGGTGAATTATGGCTGGAGGACCAATAGTGTATGATCAAATTGGCAATGAACTGGGGGACCTTAGCTGGGCCTGCATTGCAGTCTCTTCTTGGCCTCTCTCTCTCACGTGACTAGGGTGGCCCTTTCCTCTGGGTGTGTATGGGGCATCTCTGGCTTGAAGCAGTTAGGGCCACTTTATGAGAAAGGCAGAGAATTCCCTTGTGGTGAGAAAGTCAGAGGTGAGAGAGGCCTTCCTGCTTCTGCCTCTTTCTCAAATGCCAAGGTGCTTGGTTGAGGGGTTGCATGCCCTAAACCCCATCACCTTCAAGGAAGGTGGTTATGGGAAGGTACATGGATTCCTACCCTGAGGCATCCTGACGCCTTCAGAAGACAGGATCTATTCCACAAATGTGGGATTTCAAAGTCCCCAGTAGTCAAATTAAAAAAAAAAAAATGAAATTAATCTAAAGCATTTCATTTAAACCAATGGATTGAAAATATTATTATTTCAACATGTAATCAGCATTTAAAATTATGAATGAGACAGTTTATTTTCTTTGGAATTGAGGCTCAGAAATGTGTATTTCATACTCCAGCCACGTCTCAGTGGAGATCAGCCCCATTTCAGGTACTAAATGGCTCCAGGGGTGACAGATGGGACAGTGTCCTCCAGCTCAGGCTGCCAGGTTGCTGGGGTTCTTCTCTCAGAGGGAGCGTCTTTCTGTCACAGCCACTCTCATTGGAGACTTCGTACATAGCAGGTATTATGCAGAGTGAGTCCCACCCCACATACTCAACCCGGTGAATGTCGCACTCCTCACTTGGCCTTTGACAGAAGAAGAAACTGAGGCTGGGAAGAGAACTGAACAGGTTCAGTGACTTGCCCCAGGTTTCACAGCTGACTGTTGTGAAGCAGAGATTCCAGTCTAAGCCAGCTAATTCCAGAGCCTGGTCATCAGGGTCTCACCTCCATAAATCCAGAACACATCACCCCAAAGGACTTCATTTGCCATGGAAATTGTGTGAGGGCCAGCCATGGACAACCTCAGAAGACCATGTTACTGGCCCTCTTGACCTGAGGGGGAGGCCGGTGAGGGTAGGCTCTGTGCTCCCCCTGTGGAAACCCTAGTGTGCGGTCACTGAGGGCCTCACTCTGCTGGTAGAGTCGGGAGGGACAACCAGGGTTGAGAATTCTGTTCCTTCAGGTACTGCAAAATCGAGCTTTTAATGTGTACACTTGGCGGGGCATATTTATTAAGATGCTGGTTGCAAGTCACAGAAACTAAAGCAAACCAAACCAACCATGGAAAAAGAAAAAATTTAGGGATGTGCATCAACAAGATACCAGGCAGATCATAAGAAGGCGCTAGCTGATCAGCATGCAGGGAGGGTGGACTGGTGCTGCTACAGTGAGCTCAGCCCCTAGAGTTCCAGCCTTTACCTGTGGCTTCCCTGCTACCCAGGCTGTTCCCAGCACGAGTCTCCCAGTTACAGATTCTCCAACAAGACACCCCTGTGGGCCAGGCTGGGGTCAGCCATCTACCCCTTCTGTCACCTATGGCCAGGACTGTGGCCAGAGGTCCAACTCAGAAGTCTAGGGGGAAGCATTCTAGGAGGATCAGGCCAGCTATTCCACTAAGTTCCTAGTACAGGAACTGATGTGAGTTTTATTTTTTAAATGTATGTTGTCTTAGTCACTTTCCTCGTCACTGAAACACAATACCTAACATCCACAACTTAAAGAAAGAGATGTTTATTTTTGGCTCAAGTTTGTGGAAGGTTCAGTCCACGGTCTGGTGGCCCCAAGGCACAGCAGAGGGGTATGGCGGAGGAGAGTTGCTTACCTCATGGCGTCCAGGAAACAGAGTCAAGGAAGGAGCCAGGGAGAGTGACACACTCTTCTAGGCCATGCCCACAGTGACCTGACTCTACCTCCTCACAGTGAGTCAGCTGAAGCCCTCATAATAAGGTCACCTCCCAATGTCCTGCCTATGGCTCTATGAGGCTCTAGGGGGACAGCTAAATACAAACCATACCATACGTGTATGGAGGATATTCTCTGTATGAGGATATTCTCTGTGTGAGCCAATCCTCGTCTACGAATGGCCTTTTCCAATTTTCTCCAGTGCCTTTATTGATTCTTCATTTGTCTCCAAAGGGTCGTGTTCTAACCTTTGCCTTCTTAGTGACTGGTACAATCCAAGTGGCCCAGAGGATAGACCGAGATGCAGGTGAATTAAGACAGAATCCCACCATTTCCCTGGAAGTTCTGGTGAGGGACAGACCCTCCGGGGGCCAGGAAAACCGCATCCAGATAACCTTCATTGTGGAAGATGTCAATGACAACCCAGCTACCTGCAATAAGCTCACCTTCAGGTATGCACATGTGGCCATCTTCCCTCTAGCATGGCCCTTAGTCCTTTGGTACAGTTCAGGAAAAGCAGAAGAATTACGGGCATTTGGGGAAATGCACACTGCAGTAAGTAGATTTGAACTGTCAAATTTTGTTCATGGGTGTTCTTCTCATCCTCTTTTCCCCTTCCCTCACTTTCATTTTCTTTCCTCTTCGTTATTTCCCTTCTCTGCTTTCTAACTCTGTTGAGAGTTATTTTTTATTTTGCTCTGTTGCTGAAAAGTACCACAGGGACTTGTTAGGCCCTCTCCGGGATGTGCCTTTTCTTTATTTATTGCTACCAGTGGCAAGACGGTGCTGTTAGTTAGCAGTTATAATAGATGCTGGAGACTCAGGATCAGTAACTAGGAACTCCCAGAGAAATGTACCACCAGTAATATGAATAAATCAAACCAAGTATTTACGTAAAACAAAACAAAGCATCTAATTCACTGTACACAGCTTAATTGCAGACAAACAAAAGAGAAAGACGCAGATACAAGTGGGATATGAATTATTTTGTGTATTTTAACTTGTTCTTTGTCTTACAATCTATCCACAGTTATTTTAAAATAAGTCCCTTGGAATTCTGGGTTAACATGCCTTCTTAGCAACAGTATTGTCTTTCTACTATTTTATCAAAAAGCCACAAGATCAGTGATTCCCTGAGTTAGCTTTATCTTTGTGGTTTCCATACCAGCCAGTTTCTTATTTCTTAGGAGTCTGGGGGTGTGGGGGTCCTCCAGGGGAAGTGGTATCTTGGAAGTGACCCTCCCAGGAAGAGTACCCTGCATCTGCAGCCAGGCTGAAGCCAGAGCAGGTCTGTGTCTCAGATGTTCCCATGGGGAAAGTCTCTTGTGTTTGTCTTTGACTGGTTTTTGCAAGTTTGCGCTAGGTACCTTTGGATACAGCCCCAATAAATCCGCAGTCCAGCCATGCAAAGGACCAAGGGTGCTAGACAAAGTGTGTGGTAAGGCATAGAAATGGAAATTCCTGTATTATGCTTATCAGTGTCTTCCAGTTCTCCCAGTGGACACGCCCTGCATAGAGCTAGAGAAGCAGTGTGGCCTCGGGTCTGATATCAGAATGGCTGCACGTTGTGCTGGACACAGCCCTCATCTACCGGTTCCTCTCCACCCTGTGGGCCAGGAAGCAGATCCCAGCCGGCTTCTTTGCCTTACACTGCTTCTGCTGGCCCATGAGGTGTCCTGGGAGGGGGGAGATCAGGGTCCTTATCAGCCAGCTTTCTCCCTCCACCCTCTGCAGGGCTGAGTTCCTATAAGGCAGCGCCCTGCACACAGGAGGGTCCGGGTCGGGATGGTGGCATCCTCTGCTTGAGATTTCCACGTCCCCTGTGGGTACCTTGGGAATAATCCTTTTTCTGATCCTCCTAGAATTATCCTAATTTGCCATCTGCTTCCTGCTGAGACCCTGATGAACTCAGTCACAGCCAGACCGTGGGCGTGACGGGCTCCCCTCCCCACCTAAGCATTCCTACACCTCAGTCTCTGAGACAGTGGGGATGGTTGCCATGGGGAGCCAGGATTGTGACTTCCACACCGTGCAGACATAAATCGAACTCACCTTCTGTTAAGAGCCTGGGCTCTAGAGATGGAGTGGAGATGTTTTGCAGTGACACTTACCCTTTCCTTAAGCATCTAAGCCATGCCAGCACTCTGGGGTGGTCCTAGTGCACCCTGGGAAATTCTCCTCTGGGCCTCCGCCCTCCTTGGCCCCTTGCTCCTCCCATTTCCCAAGCTCTCTGGAGGAGGAGGACTCAGGAGTGGGAACTCTGGGCATCTGGCGCCTGGAGAGGCCAGTTCCTCTGGTGCCTCCTTTCTGCTCCTCCTTCAGGGCTCATCTGTTCCTGGCAGGTCTGGCTTCCTGTAGCCCAGAGGCCCCAGTGGTGACAAGGGCAGATTGCAGGCGTGTTACAGCCGGCTGGTGACATCACACGTCAAATGTCCTGTCCCGGGCCGGCCCTTCTTGCTCTTGCTCTTCCCTCCAAATTCTCCACGAAGGCCAACCCTGAATCAGTAGCTGGACTAGTAGTGTTTAGGACCGCAGCTGATCTACACAAGGTCAAGCCTGTCCTCCGGGCTTTTCCAAGGGGAGTGACTCCCAGCAGTCCCAGCCGAGCCAAGAGGGCCCCGGAGCGGAAGTCCTCCCTGCAGGGCCCAGCCTGTGTCCCCTGGTTGTTGCGCACCTGGACAGGTGGGGCTGAGAAGCCGCCGCCCTCTCCTGGGCCAGGGCAGGGAGGGTGGCCTGGAGGCAGCGGGCGCCCCCTGCTGTCCCCGCGGTGCGCTGCAGGCTCCGGCCCTCAACCGAGGCCCGGGGCGTGATAAATGAGCTAAGGGTCCCGGCCAGGCTTCAAAGGCGCCGAGACAGCCGGCTGCGGCCGTAAATTGCCTGGCGCTCTGCTGCAGCTCTGTTGCAAGCGTTTCAAAACCCGTCTGTGAGCAGCGCTGGGGAGGGTGGCGACTCCGCGTGTGGCAGCGCGGCCATCTCCGCAGGCAGGGACCCGGGTCAGTGGCTCCTATGCCACAAGAGAGGCTACCAGTCCTGCGTGTAGGAGAAAAAGACCTAGTGTCAGGGAAGAAGGAAAGAACTTGCTGAAAGCATGTCATGTAATCCCAGCACTCGGGAGGCTTGCTGGAGTTCAAGGCCAGCCTGAACTATATAGAAGGAGACAAAAAAAAAAGTCACCAGCGCCGGAAAAAAGGTGGCCGCCAGCCCAAAGGGGTCAAGTGCAGAGGCCTTTGAGGCAGCACCTGAAACGTCCGGCTTCAGGACCCAGGGTTCTTTGGACGATGCTGTCTCCTCACTTATGCAGAGCTGTCACAGGGCTCACCTCTCCAAACGTCCTCCGTGGGCCTGGAAGTTCACTGATGGAGCGTGCAGTTTACAGCAGAGGTCCAGTCTGGAGGCGTTCACTCCCCCGGTCAGGCCGGGAGACTGCTCTGAACCACCTTTCCTTACCCTGCAGAGTGAGCACAAGAGCACAGACCTCTCGGAGATGCTGGACTGGAGTGCTTTCAGGTGCTTGGCATGAGATGGTACGCAGCTGGCCTTTAACACCTGATACCTGTTTTATTTTTCTTTCCTCCCCCCAGTACTGTATTTTAAGTGCGTACAAATAGAACCACGATATTGTACAATGGAGGCAGCAGTGAGAATGCAGACTCCCTCATGGCAAAACACAGGTGTGACCAGGAAGATACGCACACACACAGCTTTCTCTCCAGCAAGGAGGCCCAGTTAGCCCCAGCAGCCCAAGGCAGCCTTGCTCTTGGACTTTGGCCCATGGGGAATGAGCCCAGACCCCACTGTAGCCACCAGTAATTGAGGCTGTGGGGGTAGACAGGCACAACGTGGCTGGAGAAAAAGGTACAGAGGATTAAAGAATTTAACACTTGTTAGTCTGAGGGTTCCAAGAACCAGTCACCAAGAGAGGAGTAAGTGTGTATGGTTTTTTTATTAGGGGAAATGCCTAGGGAAGAAATTGGGGTGCAGGCTGGATGAGGCTGGGGGCTTGTCAGGCCTCTGCGCAAGTTGGACTTGGATGAAGGTAAAAGGGAGAGAAAGTGGCTGAAAAATGTTCTCCACCACATGCAGTTCAAGGAGTGGTCGGCTAGGCCCGTGGAGTTCAGAAGCCACGGGTAGCAGTCAAGGGACAAAACGAGCCTGTCCCAGCACCTCTGCCACACCCACCATCGGCGCCCAGGCTCCTGGCTGCAGCATGGGGCCTTCCGTCAACTCTGGCTCCTTGATGGAAGGCCTTCGGGCACTTTCTCCTGACGGCCACGGTATCATTTTTGGAAGAAATTCTGCCAGGGCAAGATGTGATTAAGGTAGGCAGCAAAAATGAAGCAAAACAAAAATCCCCAAGCAACGGCAACAGTAAAACCCAGCCCCAAATTCCTCCGTCTGTATGGCATCCCTGAGCAACGTGACTGGGCTGCCCTCCCAGCGAGAGCCGCACCTGTTCTGCTCAAATCTGGGCTGGACCACAGAAGTTGCTTTGGCCACTGGAACAGCCCCAACACAGCACAGTGGCGGCCGGCAAAGGGCTTGCGCTGTGGGACTTGAGCTCTTGCTACTTTTGGACTCCTGAACGTCCACATGAAAGCCTGGACCGGCCTTCTTGGGAAGGACAGACAGTAGGAAGCACAGACAAATGGCCTTCCCACCAGCAGTCACGGGAGTGTGGCCAGCCTAGACCTCCAGCCCCAGGCAAGCTGCCAGGGACCGCAGAGCCCAGCTAGGTCCAGCTAGAACCAAGAGATCTGCTGGGTAACCCCCGGCAGTGTGAGAAATAGCAATTGCTTCCTGCTCGAAGTCGCCAAGTTTGGGGCTGGCGTGTTAAGTAGCAAAAGCTAACTGACATGGTTCGTGTCCATTTAATGGATGGAGGAATAGGAACCTAGAGACGTGAAAAAGGTCCTGAACAAACTGAAGCTCACAGCATTAGGGTTCCTCACAGTCTCCTGGGGCAGCTTTCCTCATCTGTGTCAGAATGGGACCTCCAGGTTCAACCCTTAATAAATCTCTTTTGAATGAATGATACCAAGGTATTGGGAGGCCCTTCTATGCCACTGAAGCCACAGGGACACACACCGAGGAATTCCCAACTTCCAGCGCCTGGGGGATGAGGCTGCAGGGTCGCAGGGGTTTTCTCTAGCCAGTCTTTACACTCCTGCCGGCAGAGTGTGATAATAGATTTTATATTTCTCTTATATGCCTCTTTGCAGCTGTGTTCTTCCATACTATCATTCATTCATTCATTCTACAAATTTTTAGTGAACAAAGTGAACATCCCTGGCCATGTAGTGCTGTGTTCTAGGTGGGACAGAGACAATGGCCAGGATAAAAGTAAATACAATACATACGGTGGTGGTGAGTGCTAAGAATTACGAATAAAAGTGTAACGGGAGGGCGCAGTGGGCAGGGATCACTGATGTTCACTGGGAAGGGGGCGCTGATTAGAGGCTGACGAAAATGGAAGAGGGAAGGTATCAGTCAGCTTTGTGAAATGATAACAAACACCTGAGACAACAAAGTTATAAAGAGAAAGGGTTTACTTTGTCTCCTAGTCTTGGTGGGTCCAGTCCACACCTGGTGGGCTCTGTTGCTTTGGCCCTAGCTGAGGTCCCACAGTCCTCTTCAAGGGTACAACCCAATGGCTGAAGGCACCCCCCACCCGCCACAGGTTCCTCCCATAAAGTTCCATCGCCTCCCAGCAGTACCACACTGGGGACAAAGTCTTGGGGGACGTTCAGCACCCGAACATGGGGAGCCTTGTAGGTGGAGCGTCTAGGGCATGAAGAGATGCCTAGGTAATGGATTAAGGTGGGCTGGGAGCGCCAGGAGCTCCAGGAGCCTGCGCTGGAGGCGTCAGGAGGAGAGGAGGACAGACAGTCCTGCAGGTCCTGTGCGTCAGAGGAGGGGCTGAGTGAAATGAGGACTTAGGAGCAGAGAGGTGACGTGGTACGACAACATTTTAACAGGATGTCTCCCAGGACTGTGTCAGAAGTCACCTGAAAGGAGGCAAGGACAGAAGCAGGGAGACTGTGAGGAGGCTCCCGTGATGACCCGGGCCTGGCTTTGGACTGGAAATCAAGGGGCACTGTCTAGGTTAGAAGGAGCGCTCAGCTGCTGTTTGCAGACAGAAAATACTGAATTGTGTCTTCTTGCCCAGCATTATGGTGCCAGAAACAGCGGCCAACGGGACGTTGCTCCTGGACCTGAACAAGTTCTGCTTTGATAGTGACAGCGAAGCCCCAAACAATGCGTTCAACTTCACCACGCCATCTGGAATGGGGAGCAGCCGCAGATTTTTACAGAACCCAGCTGGCTCTGGGAAAATCGTGGTCAGTTTATGGTCATTGCTTCATTACAAGGGCGTCGGGGAAGCTGGTCCAACAGGCATAGTGCTTTTGCTGCCCCACAGAGAGAGATTTCCAAGGTAGCCCCCTCTCAGAGCCGTAGTAACTCACAGAGTTAATGGTGAGCCTGCGCTCCCTGTTTGGTCTTTATTTTACCCAGGTTCCGGGAACGTTTGTTATGCATAGCTGGGCGGGGGGTGCTAAGGACTGGGTTCTTCCCTGCACAGCTCAATTTGTGTGCCTGCTTAGTGCGCTTTTACGGACACATTAGTGCCCTCTGCACTCGAGCGCTTTGTTTACTTGAGGGCTGGTTCTGCAAATGAGGTGTGAGGGAGAGGAAGCAAGCCTGGGCCCTCAGTGTGTCCTGACAGATTCTGCATCCTAGAACCGCTGGAGACCCAAGGGGAATGGGACAGGGAGGGTGCAAATAGCATGGGGGCGGGGAGGTGGCCCCAGCAGCCTGGGAGGCCTTCGCTTATGGGACTCCTGCCAGGGGGCAGTGGGAAAGAGAGGAAAAAGGAGGGACAGGGACAAGCTGGTGGCACCTTCGGGGTGTCAAGGGTGGGGAAGGAAAGCAAGTGGTCTGCATCCTTCCTTCCACCCCGCCTCCTTCTCTGCCTCTTTCTCAGTCCCCAGGAATCTCACCGACTTCATTCATTTCTGTGTTTCTCTGTATAGGAAATTAACTTTTATTCACTATAGAGAAATGCAAGCACAGAAAAGCATCACCATTCTGAGATAACCACAGTTGCTATTTTGCTGCATTTTCCCCCTTGTCTTTTATCTATGCATGCATTTTGTATGTATGTTCTATACATTCATGCATACATAGGTTAAATAATGAAAACATCCCTGGTTAAAAGGTTCAGTATCACGCTTTTCTTCAGCTAATCTGAAGTCATGAGCCTCTGCTTATTGTGCAAAAGTGCTGGGTAAGCATCTTTGCGCGTAGATTCTCTTTCCTGGTAAATTCCTGGGAGTAAACTCTCTACTAGTACACAACGCTATGATTGCAACTCTTTAAAGCTCCTAAAATCACAGGAAAATGATTTTCAAAAGGACTCTGCCAATTTAAGGATCTACCAGCAGAATATGAAAATGTCAATATATAGAACTATTTATTCTGTGTAATCTAGTTTCTCTGTTTTAATCTAGTTGATTGGTGATCTAGACTATGAGAATCCAAGCAATCTCGCTGCCGGCAATCGGTACACTGTGATAATCCAGGTGCAGGACGTTGCCCCTCCTTATTACAAAAGCAAGTATCATTTTCCCTTGCATGGGCCTGTTCCTTGAGTATCAGTGATCAAACCGCACAGGCAGTTCTAGGAATCATGCTAGGTTTCCGCATCCCACTAGCAGGGCTCTAAGCAGGGTCCCCCTCTTTCTTGGCTGAATTGTAGCGTGTTCCTTTCCAGTGCATCTTTCCTGTTTCTGCCAGTGACTTTTCTAGGAAATGCAAACACCGTCATGTCACTTCCTTGAGCATGACCTGTAGCTGTCAAGTTCACGTGCAAACTCTGGCTTCGCACACAGACTTCCATCGTGTGGCTAGGCTCTCCTCCCTAGCTACCGCTCTGGCCCCTCCCCTCTGAGCTCCCTTTTTTCCAACTAGACCAACGCATTTGCAGTTGCCCTGAATGAATCAAGCAGTTTTATACCTCAGCCTTCTTGTGCATGCCTAGAACATCCTCCCAAGCCACACTGCACACTCCTCCCTCATTTCTTTAACTCTATCCTTGTCAGGCTCAGCTAACACTTCCACCTTAAGCATCTTGAGGCCAGGAACAAACAGGTCTTATCCACCTATGTCCCAGAGCCTATACTCAGACAGTGCTTTAAAAATGTTGAATATGCACTCCTGTAATCCTAGCTACTTGGGGGGCTGAGGCAGGAGGACTGCATGTTTGAGCCTAGCCTGGGCGGCTTAGTGAGACCGTGTGTCAAAGCTAAAAATTTTTTAAAAGGCCTGGGGATGTAGCTCAGTGGTCAGGCACTTGCCTAACATATGCAAACCCTTACTACTGAAAAAATAAAAAAGTTGAATAAACTAATGAGTAGCAATTGTAATTTAAGTTTGTTTCCATTTTCACTTTTAGATAACATCTACATTTCTATCTTAACAAGCCCAGAAAATGAGTTTCCTCTCGTCTTTGAGAGGGCATCCTATGTGTTTGCTGTGTCAGAGCTAAGACCCGGTAAGTTATGAGACGTGGACCCCAGCGCTCCTGCTGGACTCCACCCGAACGCCTGTCCTGGGAAGGCAAAGCTCCTTTCAGACAGCCCTGAGTACAGCGATTCACAGCTGACTCCTGCTTGTTGCCTTTCTTATTTTAAAAAAATTTTCCTTGCTGGTGCAGAACTCTTTGGTAAAACTTGGATTTTATTTTATTTTTTATAATTAAGTTTATTGGTACAATTTAGGCATGCATAATGATCACATTCATCATGGGGCATTTGTGCCTATACATGATATATCTTACTTCCCTTTCTTAAAACTTGGATCTTGAAAACTGTTGATTAAATTGCATTTCTCTGAAACCCCCCATGGCTTCCTTGTGTGTTTGCCTGATTCCGCTAACCCTCCTTTCTGTGGTCTTTCTCTTGGTCTCCATTGTGATTTTTAACCAGCTCACTCAGGGAAATGAAATTTAAAAACTTCCCATTTCTGTTTCCTTCACTGAAATATAAAATGAATATGTTTCTCTCTCCTGTCCTCAGATTCACTGGAGGCCTTTTTTCCTCCCCTTTGTAGCACTTTGGTCTCTGCAGGCTCCTCCCTCAGTAAGAAAAGACACCCAACTCCAAGTTTCTTCATGTTCTCCCTCCCTCTCGGTCTGCTGTAGCTCCCCAATATCATCGAGTGCATAAACTCTCTGCTGTCATGGACTCCCACACACCGTTGGATCCTGAGATCAGAGATGCTTCTTCCATATTTAAAAGCTAAACCAAACTTAAACCAAAACAGTCTTGAAAATTATCTCCTCCCCATTTTATTCTCTCTTTATGATGTTCTCCATTTCCTGACAATTAAGTTTCAAAACAAAACCCAAAAAGAAGATCCAGAGAAAACGGTTTGAATTTCTCACTTTACCCAGTAAACAATACCTTACCCAGTGAATAACAGTCATCAGGAGCAGACTTCTCATGATTTCACAGATCTTACAACAATTATTTTTGACCACCTGCTCTGGGTCACGCACTTTGTGCTGAGGCCGTAGAGCTGAATGAGAGGAGCTTTCTGCCCTGGAGGAGAGTAATTTATGAGCAAGAGCTTCTATAAAACAACCAAGCCACATCACCAGCAGCCCCACCAAAAATATGTGTAAAAGAAACAAAATGGAAGAGCATTTAAAAACCTACCCTCTGTAATCATCAGTGGCTAAATTCTTTTTAAAATTATTTATTGTCTCCTCTTGTCTGTATGAGCAGTTCATGTTTATTATAAAAAATGCTGAAAATACTAGAGACTTTTCGGCAGCACTGGTGCCAAAAGGTATACGAGGATGGATGTGCATTGCGCTGTTGTTTATGGTAGCAAAATAATTGGCATCCTTGGAGTCTCTATAAAGACAAGAACCATCCTTCATGCCTTGCAGCAGTGCTTGGATCATAGGGCCAGTTACCCGGTGACTGCTCATTAGCATTATTTGAGTGTAGTAGAAAAATGAAGATACAAAATGCAGCACAGAGTGTGAACAGCAAGAAGGCCTTCAAAAGCCTTTCTGCCCAAGGCAATGAGAACATCTTTTCCCCTGTCACCCCAATCCCTACCTGACCAGGACTGATCTCAGGTACTTTATTCTTCCAGCTCGAACCCAGATTGGACAGGTGCGAGCAACAGATGAAGACTTCCCCCAGAGCAGCGTCACGTACTCCATCTCCAGTGGAGGAGCCAGCCTCCAGCACCCCAACATATTCTGGATTAATCCCAAGATGGGAGGACTCCAGCTAGTAACTAAGGCGGACTATGAAACCACCCCCAGCTACACGCTCAGAATTCAGGCCACCAATGGCAAGGACACGAGCTCAGTCACTGTGAGTGGGGCTGTTTGGTATCTTCTCACTCACCCAAGTTGTTGACTTAGGGTCTCCCTGCCACCCCCATGCTGTGGCTACAGCAATGAGGGATCATCACAGAGCATAACTTGCAGATATGATGAGAAACAAGTGGGGGAGCCCAGATATAAATATTCACACCTCTATTTGAGGTCCAAGTTTGTGGATGACTGGGAGAAGTATTGAGATTGATGGCCACGTGTTGGGATATGTGCTGAACCCACAAAGCTACTTTGTGGGGCAAGATTCCACCTGTGGGTGCTTAAATCTCACTTGGGCTTCACTGTGAACAGAGGTGAGAGACTCAGGGTGGAATATGGATGTGGCTTTGCAGTTATTCATCTCCTCCCCACCGCATACACACCACACCAGATGGGGTACATCTTACAATGATGCTGTATTAGTTAGCTTTGTGTCACTGTCACAAAATACTTGAGGCAGGCTACTTTTGATGTCTCATAATTTGGGAGGTTCAGTCCATGGTTAGGTGGCCCTGTTTGTTTGGGGCCTCTGGTGAGGGTGGCAGATCATGGCAGGAGTATGTGTCTTAGTGAGTAGCCAAACCTGGATCCAAAAAGCAGAGGGAGAAGATAGGCCAGGTCCCACAGTCCCTGGGGTTGGGTGTGTCTTCAGTGACCCAAGAATCTCCCACAATTCCTCATTTCACTTACCACCCAAGGTGCTGCATTTTTAATATTCTTTCCAAGGTGACAGCGCTGATCCAAGGCCACCTTTTGAGTAGCACATGGGTATCACACAAAAGTCTAGTAGGTCTGTGGAGACAGTGCTTGGGATTATCTGACAGCAACATGACAGCCACCAAGATCCAATACTTCTTGTTCTTTTCCAATAATAAAGCAAAAAGCAGGAAGGCAACTGGACTCAGCTAGCTGCAGGCAGCCGTGTGTGACACAGACAATGACCAGCGCAGAGTCAGGAACATGAGTTCATTTCTCAGCTTTGATCCCAGTTTCCCAAGGGGGTCTGAGCAGGGCTTATCTCCATGTCCCTATTTCTGTACTTCTTAAGTGGAGAGTCACCTGATAACCCAGTGCCTGAATGGTCCAGCTCCTCCATGACTTGCTTTGAATTAACAGGATGATGTTTTCAGTGATGTGTGAGGTTTGGCATTGCCAGCCGGGCAAAGTGGGAGATAATTGCAGTGTTTGTTAGGCTGGGGGTTATTTGAGAAAAATGAATGGACTCCACTTTGGGAGCTAACTAGAGTGAATATTTCAATTTACTCTCAGGCTCAGAAATAGCTGAAATCCCCAAATTTCAAAAGTAGAATGACTACGACTCAAAATTCATAAGCTTTTTAAAAGGGTGATGAACTAAATGATCACATAAATCCCTTTCAGGGCTGCCGTTCTATGCATCTGTGCTGGCAGGCGTCCCAGTCCATGAGCCAATCCACCAGGCATAAAAGGCAGCGATGGAAACACAGGCTGGCCCTGCTCGGGGCAGGTCAGCCCCCAGGCTCAGTGCGGCGCTAATAGCCCAGGTTCCAGATGAGATCCCAGCTTAACCAGGCCCACTCCTTCTGGCCTAGCATTGCTCAGCCCTGGTACATGTTAGAATCAGCCAGGGAACATGAAAACCTGCCTGGTCCCCACTGTCCACGGATGCCAATTCATTTGGTCTGAAGTGAGCCCAAGAAAGTGCAACCAGATTTGAGAACCACTGCTACGCGTGCCAAAATTAGAGACTGAACTTCAGTTCACAAGGGGCAGTGAACAAGGAAATACACAGGGTCCCTGTAAACCCACAGCCGTTGCTGCAAAAGAGCTCAGCATTATCTTCAGGGAGCTCATGCATCCAGATGCACGGAGTGGGGGGCGAGTGAGTGTTACATGTACCACATGCACATGCGTGCAAGTGTGCACAGTTAATAGCATAGGATTTGGGGGAGGACAGAACAGAACTGAAATGCCTGCTCAGCCACCCAGCAGCTGAATGGTGGTGATTCAGTCATCTAATATCTCAACACCTCCTTTCCTCACCTGTATAATGGGCATGGTCACGTTCCCTCTGCCACATGAGGCTAAATGAGCTGACCCCTTGTTACGGTTTGTGTCTGGATATCCCCTCAAAGCCTCATGCAGTCATGGGGCAGGCTTCTAGACTTAGGGTGTGAGTGCTGCACCTGCCCTGGGGTGGGTAGTTTGCATACAGTATAAGGAAGGGAAAGAAGCTTGCTCTTCCTGTCTGCTCCTCCCTTTTTGCTCTTGTTGCTTTGCTGTTCTGCCGCCATGAACTGTTGCCTGTGCCTTGTGCCTCCCTGCCCTGGAGCCAGCCAAGTATGGCCTGAAACCTCCACAAACTGAGCAAGATAAAACTTTCCTTCCCTAATTTTGAGAGTCAGGTAGTTTGTCTCAGCAATGAGAGAAAAGTAAGCACGATACCCATGTCAGGTGTGCAGCTGGGAACTTGCCACGTACATGGTGAGCACCCAGCTGAGCACCCAGCCACTTTTAGCTCTTAAGTGTGACCCCTGTTGCTGCGCTAGGTTACCGTGAACATCCTTGGAGAAAATGATGAAAAGCCAGTGTGCACCCCCAACTCTTACTTCCTGGCCATCCCAGTGGATCTGAAAGTTGGCACAAATATTCAGAATTTCAAGCTCACGTGCACTGACCCTGACTCCAGCCCCAGATCTTTTCGTTACACCATTGGCCCAGGTACAGTACTTGGTATGGGTAGTCCCACGCTTGTTTCTGGGGACTCAAGGCTCACACATGGACCCGGGCATGCTGTGGGCATGGCTGGGAGTTGGGTGAGGGATGAGGGGTGAAGAATCAAAGGGCCCCTCTGTTTCCTGATGTGCTCTGTAGCTTCTCTACTCTCCCAGAATCCTCACATGGCTGCCCAAAGGCCCTAGGAAGGGTGAACCCCTTTGACGGTGGATCCCCCAAACTCCCAGACTATAATGAGTCATACATGCCATTAGTGTAATTTAAAAAAAAATCTAGCCCAGCTCCTCAGCTGTCTCTTTTCCTGAAAGCATATCATGGGGGCAGGGAAGCCCAGGTCTCTCACTGGATAATAATAGATTAAACAGATAAAATGCATTTTGAAATGTGTCCTCAGCAGTTCTCTTCTGCTCCATTCATTTTCTCTCTTTAAAAAACACACCAGTGTGTGAATAGAAAAAAAAAAAAAAAAAGAACACCCTTTCAATGAAAATTAGACCAAAATAGCTCATCTAATGAAGTGCTGGGGCCAAAGATTTAAACCCAAACAAGCAGAGCAGCTCCATGCAAAAGAGTAAAAATCCATCTCAGCCACCCGCTGAGCCCTGGCAGAGCAGGAAGCCTCGGAGCCAGCAGCGTCGCAAAACCCAGGGGCAGACGCTTCCTTGAGACCACACTTGCCGGAGATGGAAATAATCCATACTGAGAAGCCTTAGGCCTTTATGGAGCACTTTGCTGCTAAGGGAGGAAAAATTGCATCATCTCCTGCTCCATTTGCTCGCTTTCAGTCGGTAATGAGTCGAGCCACTGGAGGAATGAGCAACAGCCACGCTTGGCTGCAGCATTCCTGCCCCGGGCTCCCTGAGCTGAGAGCTGGGTGCCCCAGAAGAGCTTGCGTATCTGTGGAGGAGAGATGGGGTGAGTGCAGAAGAATGGGGGTGCAATCCTTGAAAGCCAGAAGGCAGCTCCTTCGGAGGACTCCAAGGACACCTGTGCGACCAGCAGGACAGGTTCTGCGAAAAGCACTGGGTGAACCAGCTATGGCTGTGGCCTGCTCTACTTTCTTGCTGCCCACTCATTGGTCTGAGCATGAGTTATATTCAAGGTTATATTCACCACAAAAGGCTTAAATTTTTTAAAAACATCTATTACAGTAAAAGACACACAGCTAGTCACCCCTCAAAACACTCCCCCTCACCGGGCGTGGTGGCTCACACCTGTAATCCCAGCACTTGGGAGGCTGAGGCAGGAGGATCGTTGCGAGTTGGAGACCAGCCTGGGGTACAAAGTGAGCTCAAGGCCAGCCTGAACTGCACAGTGAGACCCTGTCCCCAAAATACAAAAAAAAAACCCAAAAAAACACTCCCCCTCACTGTGAACACTCATCCTATGTTCTTGCCACTTTCTGAAGCAGTTCTGGAAGTCCTCTTCCATGAGTATCTTTAGTTGCGCTGTCATGGCTGCCCCAATGTCCTGAATAGATTTTAAATGTTGACTTTGTATGATCCTTTTGACTTTGATGAACAGCCAGAAGTCACTTGGTGCCAGATCCAGTAAATAAGGTAGATAAGAACATACCAGAATGTTTTTATTTGACAGAAATTGCTATAAACATTTTGAGTTGATTTAAGACATTGAGGCGGCCATAAAAAGACACTTACAAAAGAGGACCTCCAGAACTGCTTCAGAAAGCGGCAAGAATGATGGGCTGAGGGTGCTCAAAGTGAAGGGGATTATTCTGAGGGGATCAATGGCAATGTGTCTTTCACTGTAATAATTTTTAAACTTTTTATTCAAGCATTCATCTGTATTATTTAATCTTACTATGCATATTATTACCAAATGCTGTAAATGCCTGCTGGCAAGCTAGCAGAGGCTCCCCCAGGATTCTGGACTTTCTCTATCTGATGATACCTAGGACAGGTATGCTGTGGTCCCTTTCCACTCCCTCTCATTTACAGCCACACTGGTCATAAGCTAGAGTTTCTTTGTACTAAGGAAGACACTGGTGGCAGCAGGGATCTTTGGCACATCACTGGCCAGCCCTGGTCCATCAGAAACATGGTCTACCCCCAGGGGCATCAGAGGAAAAGAGAAAATGCAGTTTTCTTCTATATCTTTTTCTTCCTCTTACTAACACCCTTGTATCAAATCTCATTTAGGCAACATCAACAGTCACTTTACCTTCTCTCCCAGTGCTGGCTCCAATGTTACACACCTGCTGCTTGCGTCCCACTTTGACTATGCTGGTGGCCTGGACAAGATCTGGGACTACAAACTACTTGTCTACATAACTGATGACAACCTGCTGTCCAGCAGGACAAAAGCTGGGGCTCTTGTTGAAACAGGAACGGTGACCCTGAATGTTAAGGTCATTCCCCACCCAACTACCATCAGCACCACAACTCCCAGGGTAAGGGCTTGGGGACTAGGAATCCCCCGGCATAAGCCCCTGAAATGTATAATACTGGGGCCCTTGGACCCCAGAGAAGTAGGAGATGGACTGAAAGGAGCTGGAGTATTTGGCCAGATTAGAGTGGCCCTGAGGGGTGGATAAAGCTCTGGGAGAGACCTTGCACTCATAGAACTATGACTTTCTGTTCTGATTTGAAAAAGAGAAAGTCTATGTGTGTGCAGGCACCTGTGATAGACCAGACTTTGGCCATCTGTGGCGTGTGTGACATGGGACCAATTTTAGCGATAGGCATCATCCTGTCGCTCCCTTTACAGCCCCCTCTCTGCTTGTTCACAATGGCCGTGTAAGCCAGTGCCCGAGAGAGCAGGTATCTGGCTGCCAGGTGCTCTTGACTTCTTTGCAAGAGGTGATCAGTACCCTACTTCCCGCTTCACTCCAAAAAATTCATCCAATCTAGCAATACTGACTTAGTGCTTACTCGTGCCAGTTACTTTAGCGGGCAAGCCAATGATGATCCCTGCTCTCCTGAGCTAATAGCATAGCTCAGAGCTTTTCCAAGTGTGGTCCCCAGACCAGCAGTGTCAGCCTCACCCAGACACTAGTTAAAAGTGCTGGGCTGGGGATATAGCTCAGTGGCACAGAGCCTGCCTGGCAAGCATGAGGTCCTGAGTTTGATTCCTGGTACAAAAAAAGAAAAGAAAAAAGAAACAGATTTTCAGACCCACTGCAGATTACAGAAGTCACAACTCACACAGCCATGGTCATCACTTGGGCCTCCAGGGAAGAAAGTTGGAACCTGGAGTCCCTAATGCTTTCTCCTGACCTATTGGATCTGAAACTCTGAGGGTGGAGTGTGCACAAATTAATAACTACAGGCTGTGGTAAGTGTAGGAAGGACATAGACAGATGCCACGTCAGAATCAGTGTGGGGAAGGAAGGGAGAGCCTTGGAGTCTACAAGATTGTCTCCTCTGTCCCTTAGAGGTGCTGGTCCCTCTCCTCCTCTTCTCAGGTAAGGCGCACTTCAGTCAGCCCCTCTATAGTGCAGCCCTGCAGGGGAAATGGCCAGTGAAGGTGGTCAGCTTCTGCTTCTGAGTCTTCCTGAAAGTGGGTGATGCCTCTGTCTCCTGTGTTGAGTCAATGTGACATGTGGCACCCCTAAGGACTTCCGCTGTGGTAGGAAGCAGTAGGCTCCCCTGAGTGGGCACTGGGCTTACACCTTTCTTGGGCTTATAGCATGACCCAACTGTGACATCCTCAGTCCTGAAATCTCCATAGCCTGCTTCTGATCTGTCTCCCACTCCAGGGAGCAGATGCTGAACTTGGGGTTCGGTTGGGATAGCAACCCACTCATCTGGCAGTGACAGCTGTACCAACTGAAACAAAAGTCCTACCAGGTGTTAACAAAAACTGGCTTTCCTGGCTCGTGCCTCCTCAGGGAGAGACGTGGCTCGAGGAGTCCGTGGGCTGCACTGTGTGGGGGCTGAGAAACAGTGGAAGGATGCTTTAGCTTTGAGGGAGGGGAGGAGAGACAGAGGAAGGAGTTGCCTTTCAGTTCCCTCATTTTTCTGAGCTTTGGTCTAATGGACTTTTGCAAAGATTCCATAAAATAAGGAGCTGGGTAGCAGCAGTAAGAACTAGGAGCACACAGAGGTCCGCTTACCAAGCAGGGACAAGAAGCAGAGTAAACACCGGACACAGGGCAGTGCAGACGTCAAAGACACTGCCTCCTCCGCTCACCCCCTGCTCTCTGTCCCTCCAGCCCAGGATCACCTACCAGGTCCTCAGGGAGAACACGTACTCTCCGTCCGCGTGGTACGTGCCTTTCGTCGTCACTCTGGGCTCCATATTGCTCCTGGGCTTCCTGGTGTCTCTGCTCATCCTGTTGGCCAAAGCCATCTCCAGACACTGCCCCTGCAAGACTGGGAAGGACAAGAGAGCTCTGTGAGTCTGCGGAGGGTGGGCCCTTTCCTCAAGATTCCTCTCTGGGGTAGGAGACCCTGGCACGAAGGAGAGAAGAGGGGATGTGTGCCTGAGGAATCCCAGCTGCCCTTGAGCTTGGTGTACCCTCTTGAAAGGTCACCAGTAGGGACAGGAAAACATTTCTTTGGGTTCCTTGGCAGCCTACCCTGTTCCTGATGGTGTTTCAGTGAAACCAGGCTGTCAAACTTTGGGTGACCTTCCTCTGCATAAAAGCTTTGGAAAAGCCCCCCTGTGCAGAGTGATAGAGTAGGCTGTCCTCTGATTTGTAGACTATTTTAGGAGGGGGTGGAATTAAAGAAAGCACAAAAAAGCCTAATGAGGGAATTAAGCTTTTGGCTCTGTGAACTCAGTTGGGCTTTTGTGTGAGTAAACCATCATTACTCTTTGGCGTGTGGCCCCAGTCTCTTGCCCTTAGGGGCTGTAGACCCGGCCAGGTCTCCTTCCTAGGTCTTTGCTCACACCTCTGCTTCTGCTGGGGACAACTACAGAGTGGAGTGGACCGAACACTGGCTTATCACAGACCTCCCAGAGCCAGCTTTCTGCACTCTCAGTAGCTCTCAGAGTACTCTGTGCTGGCTCTGAACTTCAACTTTGGAGTTAGGCAAGGCCTGGGTTCAAATCCTGGCTCTACCATCCTATACGTACATGGCTTTGGGCAAGTCACAGCCTCCGTGAGCTTCAGTTTCGTTATTTGTGAACTAACCAATTAAGCAAATGCACTGCTCCTGTCCGAGAGCAAATGCTTGAGACACCATAACCATTATTTTTAATTTTGTTGTACCCTGCTTCACAACTAGGACTCAGTGCATTTAGGATTCTATATTCAAGTTTTGCCTTATCCTCCAGTATCTTGGGGTATTCGGTGGTCTGAGTTTTAGAATTTCTTAATGGCAAAAAGAAGGGGTGATAAGAAGCGGGTGACTTTGAAAAGTATTTTAAAGCTAAACCATTAACTATCAAATCATTTGAAATCTATAGATGAGCCTGGTATCAAAGTATAAGGCATCAGCATAAAGATGTGCATTGCATTTTGCCATACTTATCAGGGAAGTTTGTTGCTATTGGCAACCTTGACTTGAAGGTAAGAAATCCTTGAGCATCTGCTGAAATTAAAAAAAGACATTTTTGTTTGGACTCTACTTACAAATTGACTTAAAAAAAAAAGACTGATTCTAAAGAATGACATTTAAGCTTGTAAAGATGGTGGTGCCCTGTAATGGGATTTGGGTAGAAGCTCTTGAACGAAGGAATCCAGCAGATACTGCAACTCATGGGCAATTATGGCTAAATGTTAAATAGGCACCTTAAACCTGCTTATTTTAACTTATGCTCTAAATACTGTTTTCAGCACAGTTGATTTAAAAAAGAAAAACAAGCTAGAAACTCAGACTCAGACCTGGCCTCCTTGGCCATTACTTGTGTCATGTCACAGTGAACATTGGTGAAAAAGCAAAGAATAAAATTAGAGTCACAGAATTATAGAATCCAAGTTTGTCATAGGAAGGGTTTTAGAGCCTCAACCCAGCTCTTCTTGTTACAGGATATCAGACCCAATTGCCGGCCCTGCAGCCTCCCACCCCCCCACCCCGGGCTAGGCTGGCTGTGGAGGCAGGAAACACGGCAGGAAGACTCACCTGGCCTCTCGCCAAGCTGCTCATGCCCTGCCCGGTGTCCTCATGAGAGGCACCAGAGTCCCTGGAGTTCAAGGCAGTTGTTTGCAAGTTCAGGAGACTCCAGAAGCTTCCTGGTCCAAGGGCATCAGGGATAGAGCTGCTTTGTTCGGAGCAGGCTAGCATCCCAGCCTTCTTCTTGGCCTGCATCCTTGGCCCCTATATCAACCCAGACCCTGAATCCCAAGGAACACAACCTCCAGGGCCCTATGTTATCAGCTGTGTGCTGCTGTGTAATACTTTCAGGCTAATTAATGCACATCCTTTCTCCCCCCATAGGGCAAAGAAAGGAGGTACCGGTATGTACAGTGCTGATTTCCTGCTTTTGTTTGTTGTGTTTCTCTTGCTCTGTTGTACTGTGTGTAAATGGCTTCAGCCTCATCAGGGTGTGGCTGTGTTTGGTGGGTTTTCGGGCACACCACTGTAGAGGAAGGCATGTTGGGCTGGGTGCATGGTGCCCTTGGTCTCAGATCTCATGTGGTCCTCCCTGCTCCCTACCCAGGGTCCTGTCCCATCGGCCCAACTGCGCCACCCAGGTCGGTTCCCCTCCAGGCAGGGTGGGCAAGAGGAAATCTGCAGGTGTTAAACACAAGCAGCGTCTACTTGCTGCTGTGTGTGGGTGTGGTCCCTCCGAGGACAGCTAGTGCTGGTTACGACCCTGCCTCTTTTGAAAGAACAAGCGATACTTTAGAGCTTTAGAAGAAACAAGAGGTTGTAATGGATTTGATCATCTTCATGAACTGTTGAGGTCCAACTAGTTGGAGGTGGGGATGAGTACCCCGGAGGAGCCAGAGAGCGAAGTGATGCAGAGAAGTTGGTAACTAAGCCAGGCTGTCCTGGGAGCTCCAGCCTTGAGGAGGTGCGGGGGTCCTGCCCCGGCCACCAAGTTGTTGCCGCAAGCTGACTGCAGGCCACAGAATCAAAACATTTAAAAAAGTGTTTTCCGGCATCTCCTCATCCACAGGAAAGCACATCTGGAGCTTGTATTATAATCACTATTGACCATTCTGAGTGAGATGATGTTAACAAATGACATTTTCAAACTCTCTGCAGTTCCAGGTACTTTTTAAAAAGGGTATAGGCAATGGATCTTTTTAAAAATCCTGTATTATAAAGAAATACATCAACCCATCTTCCTGATTTGTAACACAAATCAAAGGCCTGGTGTGGTGGCCCACATCTGTAATTCCAGCACTTGGGAGGCTGAGGCAGGAGGATCTCTTCAAGTTTGAGGGCAACCTGGGCTACAAAATTAGTTCAAGGCCAGCCTGAACTGTATAGCAAAACCCTGTCTCAAAAAGACCAAAAAAGAAAAAAGGAAAAAAAATAAAGCCAATCAAATGCTAGTTTCTTAAGCCTAGCAGTAACAATAAGCTGGAAAAAAGTAAAACAAAATTAAATGATTTATGTATTGTGTGTATGTGTGTATATGTTTATATTTTTTTCCAGGAAGATGGAAAACCATCAACAAACATTTTCTGCAAACAGAAAAATTCTTTTGCCACATCTGTATGATTGAGTTTAAAGCTTGTGGGCGGTAGAATTTTAAGGTCAATTTAGCACTTCTGAAGCTTAACATGTTCTGGCCGGCTTGAATCTCTGGTGATGCATGTGTGACCGTCCCCATGGGCGGCTTGTACCACTCGGGGGGACTGGGCCATGCCGGCTGGTGGGACAGGCGTGTGTGCACCGCTGGTGGTTGAGAGCCGCCCACAGCGAGACGTGTTAACCCTGGCCTGTGCTCTTCCCTGCAGACGTGAAGCACGTGAAGACAGCAGTTGTGGTGAGTGTGGCCAGCCCTGGGCACTGGTGCTGGGTGGTGGCGAGGTGTCCTCACAGGCAGGCCTGGCAGGGCACTTACCCTTCAGGGCGGTGCGTGCCTTGGCCCCTGGGACAGCTTGCCAGTGACGCGTCCCTGATAGCCGTCCTTCCCTCCTCTGAGCACGCCTGCAATGCATTTGCTGAAGCTGGGTTCCATAAATATCGACTCGCGGTGTTTATCTACACTAGCTCAGCTCCCCAACACAGTGCCTGGGGTAGGAAGGCGCCAGGACCAGCACCTGGGCTTTGGCTGTCCATGGCATTCAGTTTCTCTTTGTTCTTTCACTACCCTGCGGGAAAGTGCTAGAGAAAGCCCTGCTTGGGCCCTCGGGGCCTCTTGATCTTGCAGGGCTCTAGAGGCCTTACCCGTGAAATGGGAGTGAGTTCACCTGCCCTACGGAAACAGGTGGGGACTGTTCTGAACTCGGGCGGGTGCCGCACAAATGCAAGGCTTACCTCTCCATCTCACGCTCTCCTTGTTTGTTCTACTGAACCGAATGTCCTCGCTGAGAAATGATAGGACTTGAAGCACGTCCCTATCCTCCAAAGTAAAACTTTGTAATGGTCCGAGACACGTGAATTTGGTGAACGTGTGCAACAAAGAGGGCCGAGGGCGGCCCGGAACTCTTGCGGTGGGCCCATCGCCTCTAGTCAGGCTACATGGAGGAGGGGGAGGAGGCGATCTTTGGTCTCCGAGGTCTGACCATCTACACGAGTCCCTTGGGGCTGCCCTGGGAGCTGCCTTAGAGCTGTGCAGTGTTAATCCAGTGGGTAAGTAAATCCCCACGGCCATCAAGAGTGCGGCAGCTGAGATGACCCAATGGGTGAAGCCCGTGTAGTTCCTGCTTCCTTCCTCTGTGGAGAGGAGAATAGGTGATTATACTTGTGATGTACCAGGGGTTGAAAGGCCCACTCAGCTCTAATCCCCATTCTCCTCCGTGTGCTAACAGCCCGACCTGGCACCTTTAGGGCACATCACCTGAGGGAACGGGGTGGCCATGGGGTCAGGGACAGGTATGTGAGGCGAGATCAGGCCCTGGAGGGAGGCACAGGGTCTGGCTCTTGGAGCACAGGCATGGAGAAGGCCTAGACCTGACACTGCTTTGGCCACCAGGAGAGGTGGCAGAGGAGAGGCGGGAGTGCCGGGGTCAGAGGCGGGCACTTCAGGGGCTCACTTGCGCCTGCTTTGCAAGCCTGCCTGACGATGAGCCCTTCGGGGGATGCATCCTTAGCCCACGGTGCGTGGCATTTCTACTCTTCCTTCTCCACGACTCAGAGCCTCAACCCCAAGTCTGGACTCTGTGCCCCCCTCCCGCCCACCTGTGCCCCGCAGCATCGGCACCTCCTCTGCCACGGCCTTGGGACCACACTGGGGCCCGTGTTTGTCCATGGCGAGCTGGGTGCAGGCAGTAGCTGTGCCAGCCCCATTCACCACGGGGTCCCCGGCGCTCAGCACAGTGCTGAATGAATAATCGCGGAGAAGCTCTGAGTAGGAACCGGGCTGTGAGGGTGAGCGGCCTCGCCTGGGAGAGGAGCCCAGGGCTGGGCCTGAGGCTGCGTCTTTCTTCTCCTTAGGAAACTATCCAGATGAACACTGTCTTTGATGGAGAAGCTGTGGACCCAGGTAATCCAGCAGCAAGGCTGCCCCTAAGAGTGCCTGTCTCTCCCTTGTTCAATTTCCTGCTCTTAAGGCAGCTTGTCTGTCCATTTGGCCACATTGCCCACGGTACAGCCCTGACCCTCAGAGGCCGCCTGGGATGGCGCAGATGGTGGCTGACACGGGCCCTCGGCGAGGACTCGGCCAGGTTCCCCCTGCAGGCTTGTGCACAAGCACATGCCTCTTCCTTCCCTCCCTGCCCAACTCACCAACCGGTTTAGGGAATTCCTGAATTCAAGATCCCGCATGTATTTTTTCCTGCTCCTTGGAACTCCCTCCCTTACCCCATCCTTGCCGCATGCTTCTAGTACCATCCTCTTGGTAGTGGAAGAAATGGCAAGTTTGGCTTCCTTTTTTCCTTAGATCGGGGCCAAGAATTTGTTCTTGGTTGGCAAGGCGAACCTAAGGAAAGCTGGCCTCCAGAGCTCTCATCACCCCCACGAGATCAGCTCCAAATTTAGCTCCTTTACACACATCCCTCCGCTTACAAAGACTCAATTATAGACATGAATAAAGGGAAGGAAACCAAATTCAGGAGGCAAGTGCGCTGGCTCCCTGCCACGCGCCCAGGCGAACGCTCGAGTCCTCCTCGAAAGGAGGATGGCTCCTCTCCAGTGAGAAGCTGCTGCTACTGAAATGAAATTTCCCTCTATTATTAGGCACTTGTTACCACAATGTGCCCACATTAGCAGGAGCGCTGGTGAGAGCCTGCGCGAGAGGGTTACGGAGGAGAGTCAAGAGCCGGGCCCGCCGTGAACGCCATGGTCCACAGCAAAAGCCCGGAGGACTTTGGCGGTTTTTGTTTGTTTGAGAAAATTAAACAAAAATAAAAAAGTAAAAAAGAAAGAAAGAAAAGAAAAGGGAAGAAATGAGCCAACTGGCCTAATGTGAGCAAATGCGTCAATTAGTATGTGTTGGCTCCAGCACAATAAAAGCGGCTTGCTTACATCATCTCCAGTAGGGCCAGATTTGTATGTCTGTGTCTACAAATCTCTGCTCCCCTAACATAAATAAAAAGCAAAGCCTTTTCCTCCTTGCTCAGTGAGTTCCTTTTTATAGCAGGGATGCAGGGGTCTTTAAAAACAAACAAAATAAACCAGAATGTCATGGGTAAACCCAGTAGGAGTTGATTTTAGTTTATCCGACACCCACCGGGAGCGCCAGGGTGACACACCCTCGTCTGGCAAAGCAGGTGGCTTTGCGACTCTCTCAAACCTTCCCATCCGCAGAGGTGTGGCATGTGCCACCCGGCCACACGGCCTGGGGGAAGGGCAGGCTGGTGACAAGCATGTGCCACTCTGAGCCTGGTTCCCAGCTGGGATCTGCACCCTCTGGCATGTGTCCTTACTTGGCAGTCAGAACAGAGCTGGGGAGAGGTGGGGTGAGACAGAATTATTTGAATTCCTGGTTTATCTGATTGCTGTTTTCCTCTCTCCTAGTGACTGGGGAAATATATGAATTCAACACAAAAACTGGAGCCAGAAAGTGGAAAGATCCACCAGCCCAGAGGCCTGCAAGGAGACAGCCCAGCGCCCAGGGAACCGTGGCTGTGTCACACAGAGCCGGGGCTGGTGAAGGGTCAGGGCTGCCTGGCAGCACCAGCCAGGAAGGAGAGGGGCCAAGAAGCACAGAGCGTGCCCAGGGTGCCGGCCTGGGTGCCAGAAGCAGGGATGGCAAGCCGTACACCACGGCACCCTCCAAGCCGCACTCAGCCAAATGAACTGTGGAGTGCCAGGCCCAGCTCCAATGGCGGGGGTCCCTGCCGTTGTACCCTAAATCTCACAGGTACAGAGATGTGGGCTGAAGGCATTCAGCCATCCAGGGTGAATGGGAGGTTTCAGAAAATTTTTTTAAAAACAGAAAGGGGTTTGATCCCATAGTTGCTGCTTTCTGCAATGGCGCGGGAGAAACGTATCTTGCGGCTCAGAACTCCTGTGCTTCTGATCCCCTGGCATGGCTGGCTTTTGGACAAGAATCCCTCGTTTCTTCTTTGCATCAGCCACCAGGAAGCTCTCTTCAGTTTAACACAAGACTTTCTGATGCTCATACCTGTTTCATGCAGGATTCCTGTCCTGACCTGAGCATCCCCCAGCCTCACTTATAAATACCTCTGCGAGTCACCTCAGGTCTTTCTCAAAAGCAGAGCATGAAAAAAATGGACGAATAACTAGTGAGCTGCTCATCTGGGAATCAGAAGGCACAATAGACACCTTCTTTTATTCTTCTCTTATTGAGGTAAAACTATCGTTGGCTAAAACGCACAGAGCTAAGGTACTTAACCTATGTAGACATCTCCCTGAGATAAGCACCATTCTGATCTTCATCATCACAGGTTAGTTTTGTCATTCTTGGATTTCACATAAATGGATCCATGCGGTGCACGCTTCTGTGACTGGCTTCCTTCAGTGTCTGTGAGCTGGGTCCCTGGGGCACTGTGTAGCAGTGGTCCAGTTCTCCTCACTGCTGTGTCTGATGCCCCTGGAAGATTATACTGCAGTTTATTTATCCAATCACTTGGGTGCTATTTCAAGCTCTTTTACTGTGATGAGTTACAGCACTACAGACTTTTTTGTACTTGTATTTTGGTGAACATAAATATTCATTGCTTCTGAGAATATACGGGGTGGGGGGCGCAGTTGCTGAGACAGTTGCTGTAGACCTCCAAGGAACCCCAAGGTTGTGGCTCCAGCTTTCACTCCAACAGCAAAGACTGAGTTCCATGTGCTCTATATTTTTGACAACACTTAAGATTCTCAGCTCTTACTTTTAGCCATCCTGGTTAAAAAAAAAGATTCCTGAAGTGAAATCTATTATTCTTAAAGCTGAAACAACACCATCCTTACAACCAGCTGCCCTTCTCCTTCCCACTCTGCCCCTGGAGGGTCCTCGGGTCTCTGAGTGGAGACACGGTGGAAAGTGCCAGCTGACCATGCGCCTCAGACTTCCCTCTGCTGCCCAAGCACTAGAACTGAGAGCAATGGTGTCCTAGCAGAACAGGAAGCTGCAGTTTTCAGTGTGTGTCTAGGAGAGGGCAAGTGCCCTATGCCTCCCAGTCCTGCTCCCCACCTGCTGTTGCGCTGTCCAAAACTACCAGAAAGGATCAGGTGAGGACCCCCTGGAACAGCAGCCTCTTCCCGGGGTGGGGCGAGTGAAGACTACCATGCCCGTGGTACCTGGGGAGAGCCCGTGACCTGCCCTGCAACACAGACCTGGGACAGGGCCCTGGCTTATCGACTGCGTGCCTGAACCGGCACAACTTCGCAGGGGACAGAGAGATTTGTGAAAAGGCCTGGCCCTGGCCTCTGTTGGGCTTGATATTTTTTGTTTGTTTGTTTTGTTTGAGACAGGCTCTTGCTGTGTAGTTAGGCTGTTTTGAACTCACTGTGTAGCCCAGGCTGGCCTCAAACTCTGGGTGATCTTCCTGTCTCCACCTCTGAGAGCTGGGATTACAGGTATGCATCTCCAGTGCCTGGCAGAAGCTTTTTTTTCTTTTTAGTGTTGGGGATTGAACCCAGGGCCTAGCCCATGATAGTGCTCTGTCACTGCACTATACCTCACCCCCTCATGGTGTATTAACAGGAGTGCTAGCTGGGGAGCTCCCTTGAATGGGGATGAAATTTTGCACAAGAAGACTGAGCTGTGTGTTTGTGGAGGTTAAAGTGGGTGTTGGGGCTGACGGCCGAGTTCAGGCTCAGCACGTCTGTGGGGCCCCAACTAACATGCCTTGCCTTGGTGCTTGCTTTGACTCAAGCAGCAGGAGGCTGAGAAGGCCGCAGGGATCTGAGTCGCTGGTTCCACACTCACTAAGGAGGGTTGGAAGGAGGGGCTGCCCTTCCTTCTCAGTGCGGCAGGCCGAGCGGGAACCATGGTTGAAGTTGGCTCAGGAAGGACTTCCCCAAGGCTGGACACAGCAGAGCGTGGTGTCCTCTCCGGTGACAGTGGGCAGAGCTGCTTGCCTTCCTGGAGCCACATGAGCCCAAAGGAACCCAAGACCTGGGGATGGGAGCGGCAGCTGGAGGCTCCAGGTGGGAACTTTTCCCGGCCCCGTCGGTTTTGCAGAGCTGGCTGTGTGATGAGGAGGATCCCAGCACTCTGACGTGCAGACGGAGACCACTTGGTTTCTAAATTTACCAGGATTAAAAAAGAAAAAAGATTTATTTGAATGAAATGAAATGAGATCCACAGCCAGTGTGACCTTGGGTTTCTCCTGCAAGGCCCGAAACACGGATGGATCGATGGGAGCCTGTGCCCACTTTTCCACTCTGCTTCATTATGAGATTGGGGCAGACGTGTGCAGGGGCTGGGTTGTGCTGCTGAGGGACGGAAAGGGATGGTTAGGGCTGAGGCTAGAGATTCCTGTGCTCCATAGAAAGCAGAGCCCGCATCTCATGGGCCCGTGTGCAACAAAACCTGTGTGGAGTTCACAGACAAAAAGCACGGATGCTGCTTCTGCTCCTAACAGCCCTCTTCCACCCAGGTGGCTCCACTGTCTGCCTTTTTATTTAGTGTGATTTGTGACGGCTGAGAAAATTAAGCATCAAAATGAGTAAACAGTGAGAATGATCACCACGGTGACGTGGCGTGTCTCATTTCCAAGGCAGCGTGCATGGCCTGGCCTCCCATTCATTCTGTAGACCCTGGAAGTGACTGCGGGTGCCAGGGCCAGGGACCACCGCAGCTGGAGCCCAGCACGTGGCACCTGCCATCCAGCCACACAGCCACATGGACCTGGTGGGGAGCTCCCCAGAGAGGTCTGTTTCCATGCCCACTGCTCTCTTGGTTCCTCGAGTTTCTATCTCAAAGATAAATCAACCCAAGCATGGCATCTCTCAAGTATTTGTTGTAAATACTTAAAAAGTTAACACGGAGCCTTGATGGGGAGGTAGCTGAGATACCTGGGTGGCAACAGCCTCTGGTGACGAGGCCGCCATCCTCTGACCTCACCTCCAGACGACAGCCCCGAGCCAGGTGACGTCAGGTGGAAGGTGGAGTCTTCTGGGCGGAAGGTGACTCTGTGAATCAGGCAGACATTTAGTCTGGATCTCAAGGAAAAGGTCAACTGCAGGCTGGGGCAGACCTAAGATGCGGCTCCTGCCCTGTGAGCTAAGACACTGGCTTACTAAAGAGACAACCAAAAAGCAGGAACAGTGCATGCACCTATAATCCCCAGCTTCTCAGGAGGCCGAGGTAGGAAGATCATGAGTTCAAGGCTGGCCTGGGGAACTTAGCACAATTCTGGCTTAAAAGAAGGAAAGAAAGAAAAGGAAAGGAAAGGAGAGGAAAGGAAAGGACAAGAAAGCCAGCCAGCCACTACCTAGGCACTACGAGAACTACAAGTGCTGGAGGAAGAAGACGCAGGCCAGCCCCACCTCTGAAAGTATAATGAAGGCCTGGAGCCAGAATGGGTTTTGATGGTAGAGACAAAACTGAAGTGGGAGAGTTGTTCTGAGCAAAGGCTTCACACTGGGCTTCAGTCCATTTCCAGCTAATTGTCTGGAGTCATGTGGAACGGCCTCCTGGGTATGTAGGAGCACTCACATTCATTTGTAAAATTGGATCGCATTGAGCAGGCTTAAGGTTGATTTTTTACCCAGGTATAGTAGTCACAACTTTTCTATCTAGCTCTACATAAATATTAGCATAAACAACAAGAGATAGTTACTTGGGGCTTACTAGGTACCCAGCACGCTTCTAGGCTCTGGGAATCCAGCAGTAATAGCAGTGTTCTCCGTGTTGGCTTTCTGGTGAGGGATGACAGGCGCTGGCTGGGCCATGTGGACAAACGCAGCTCCAACCCCTTGCTGTAGCAACCTGCTCCGGGAGCTTCTGGCTGCTACAAGAACCAGCCCAGGAAGGGCCTGCAACAAGGTGGACTTGCCGGGCCCGGATCACCATCTCTGACAACAATCTAGGAAGCTAAGCAAACACTCCTGTAAGCAATGGGCCCAATTAAAATTGACAGCTTCCCTATTTTCTGTCTGTTTCCCACTTGGCACCAGCCAGAGAAAACCAGATGCAGCAATCACAGAGGATGCCCAGACCCCAGGTAACCCAGCCGGGCTTCCCCAGGCTGGCAGCCTCTGTCAGGCACACTCAGCTCCTCCTCCTTTCCCCGCTGGAGACTTTGCCCTCTCCTCTGCCTGCCTGTGGGTCTCTAGCCGAGCACAGCTGACGGTGGCTGACTCCTTTGCCATGGCAAGCTTGAAGACAGCTTTTGCTTTTGTCTTGTGGTTAGTCCTTGCTTATTTTTACTGAGCTGACTGACAAACAGCATTGATGTATAAATGTGATAGAAGAAATATGTCGATGGTGGTAAATATCATTGGGAAAGCAAGCCTGGTCAAGGGCTACGGACATGGGACGGCTGTGTTTAGAATGTAGTTGAGAAGACCTGCTGGTAGGGGGAGATTCAAGCAGTAGAAGAGTGAGTGGGAGCCCTGTGGTACCCAGGAAGAGCCTTCTGCGTACAGAGCACAAGCACAAAGGCCACTTGGGACAGCAAGGAGCACAAGAACCAGGGGGCCGACTTCAGAGAAGGGTGCAGGGGATGCAGGGGCACGCCTGTGTGTATGCATCGGGGTGGTCTGCAGTGGGTGAGGGCTTTGCACATGACCCTGGGCCCCACGGCCACTGTCAGGACCTTAGCTTTGACCTTGAGCATGACTTCAGGCTATGAACAGAGGCGTGGCAGAGCTTATGTTCTGCAGGGTCTTTCTGACTGCCAATGTGAGGAAAGGCAGAGGACAAGGCTGGAAAGAGAGACCATGAGGTGGCTGTTGGATAAGCCGGACAGGAGACAGCGGGGGCTTGGGCCAGGCAGCAAAGCAGGGGGCACCTGCAGCCGCCTTTCAGAAAGAGTCTCGGATATGGCTGAAGTCCTGCGTTCTCCTGGGCTTGACTCCTGCATCAGCAAAGGCTGGGTTAGTCTCCCTCTGCGAAAGCTGCCGGGCAGTCACCTGAGATGACACAAGCCGCTGCCCCTGTGGGTGACTACCCGTGCCTCATGTGCCCCACCTGCTGCTTCTGTGGGGCGTCCTGGCCGTGAGAGCCCTTGAGGGTTTCTGTCACCCCATGCTTCCTGCCGAGACCCCAGAGAAGGGTCCCAGGAGTCAGAGGGGGCAGGCCCAGGCAGGCGTCCCTGGTCTGGACACCTGGCGTGTGAGGTTGGCCCCAGCGGGAATGTCTGCTGTCAGGGGCCCTGAGCTACAGGGAAGCCCCTCACTTCCACTTAGGAGCCCCGAAGAGTCTGGTTCTTTGGGAACTGGTGTTTGGGGGAGACAAGGAGAGATGAGTATGTCCTGGAAATGCAGAGCCTTGGGCCGAAACCTCTGAAGACATTCTGTCCTTAAATGGTGTTTCCCCTGTCCCTGTGGGCACAGATGTGATGA